CACGCCGTTCCACTTTTCAACGTCTACTCCGACGTGCGCATTAAAATCGCCCATCAATATGAGGGACTCCACAGTCGGTAATTTGTTCAGGGCATCTTCTTCCTCTAGGAACGAATGTTATTGTCTGTCCATATTTGGCCGATTGACCAGTGATATAGCATATAATATACACTGGTATATTATACAGTATATATGTACGCTATATATTGCAATAAGTAGAATGAGTATTTCGTAACGGTTGTTCAGTATGGAGAGCAGCGTAAATGGTGTTTCGTTATGCAAACCAAAGAAATTTGTTTATTGAATGATGATCATAACCGACCTTGCGGTTCGCTTTATATGGGGGCTGAGTTTTTTATGCTTATTGGTCATTGCTTCCGTTGTAAAATTGAGGCAGGGGAAATACTAACAAATAAAGAACTAGTGATCGTGCGGTTTCTGCATCGCTGTTTCAAGTGGTCATGAATTAAATATTTTGAACTCGATGATGCAGCGTGAAAGAGAGGAATAGAAAGTCTGGACTCGTGATTAATTAGAAGATTTAGGAATTCGAAGAGTTTGGATTTAGCTGAGACAACCAAGAAGTTTTCAGGACATTTAATAAATAGTTCTAGATATTGATTTTGAAACGAGTGAAAATCTGCTGAAGATACATGACGAAAGTACGGAAGAACGTGGAGACAAGCTCGTTTTTACGCCTTCATATATTATTACGTAATGAGCAAATCTGATTTGTCAGAAAGTAATTAAAAGATGGTCAAGAATGGAGATTATGCCATGCGTTTCAGAAACGAGTTGCGAATATTGGATGGATATGGGCAAATGCTGGCAAATTATTTTCAAGTTTATTTGGTGGTCAACATTTTGGTCGAACAACTTCACCGATTATGTGAATTTTACAGAGAACTGTTCGCCGATTCATTGTTTAGTTTCTTCATTCATTCGCTGAATGGCTTCCCTCATTCTTTTCCTTTTTTTGCTTCATTCGTTCCACCTTTGGTTCAGCCATTTCTGCCTAATCCCGCAGTTATTCGTTCCATTGTTCACTTAATCTGTTGTTCATTCATTGATTCAACCATTTTTTTCAGACTTTTCTTCCTTCATTGTTTCATATACTCAGTCACTCCTTCATTCACTCACCCATCCTCTGATTCTTTCCCTGATTAACTGACTGATTGATTCGTTTTTACGCAGTTATTCATAATTTCATTCGCTCTATTCCAGTTTTTTCTTTCCTGTTATTTTTTGTTTAATCATCCTTTCTATTATTCAGTTATTAGTCCACTTAAAAACTCTTTTCTTTGCTCATTAAATCGGTAATCAGATCTTTCATTAATTTAAACATTCACATTTTCGTTCGTTCTTTTGCTAATGAATTAAAGCATTAGTTTTTTGATCCGTATTGGTGCATATCTCATTGTTTCACTCAGTTCTATCACTCGTTGGTTCTGTCTTTCCTTGATTCATTTTCATTTGTTAACATTCGTTTTGAGCTTAGGAAACACCTTCAAAGGCTTTTTCAAATGATCCTAATTATCTGACAATCAAGATCATTTTTATTGAATTCTACTATCGCTGAGATATTGCGGGTTTATTGAACTCACTCTCTGGTCTTAGATTTACCCTATGATCGCTGGCACTTACACTGTTATACAATAATTCGAATCTCCCATCTGGTGTCTTCACCACGCAGATAAGCTGTGCTTTGATTTGTACCTAAAGCATATCAAGCGGTCAATGTGCTTTGAACTATGTAGAACTAGCTATGAAATATTAACTGTAAAAGGAATTTGCACCGGCTTTTGTGTACATCTTTCTTTAAGCACAGAATCTTTATAACTTGTGTATAAGAGCAAGATATTCGATATATTAAAACATTGCACGCGTGGAAACATTTATTATCCATAAATTTTAAGATTATGACCTTTTCAGATCGGCATCATTGAAGATGCTTCCTGAAGGTACTGTTCTAGCTTTCAGAAGCGGGCAGCAGGCTTTAAACATGAACGAACGAATAATGCTTCTTCAAATTAAGTGAATCCTGTTCACTACCTCTTGAAAAACTCCTTCAGTCAAATCCACAATATGATTTTGTGTAAATTATCACGATCCTCTTTTATACTTGGATTTATATACGTGTCATTTGCTATTGCCCAAGTATAATTGTAGTCTCTGACAAATTTTTTTAGGACGCGGCGTGGCTGTCACTTATTAACGAACGACGACAGGTGAAACTTTTACCAAAGGTTACCGAAAACACATTTGAATACCTGATGGACCGACTTGAGAAGCAATCGCATTTCCAAACGCTGAACGACGATTCGCCGCAGTTGGTCGACGAAGATGCCGTCTGTTGCGTGTGCAATGATGGCGAATGTGAAAATTGCAACGTCATCCTGTTTTGTGACATGTGCAACCTGGCTGTTCATCAGGTAAGGGATACGTCCATTTTTGTTAGTATATTTCACTGGGTGTTTTATGTATTTCTACTTTGTGTTTAATAGAAGAGAGCATGTTGGGAGGGGTCGATAGTTACAAATTCGGTAATTCTGTAGCAAATTGTGATCATATACCACTCTAAATCTTTGACAGGTTTTCATGCCGTGGAAGAAGGTGGATATCAGCATCGCTCATACCTTGTAAATGTTTGTATAAAGATGTATCATTAGAGACTTTTACAAGAAAGGGCAATGATTAGAAAGGCCGTAGTCACTTTTCATTTATCATTTGAGCACTTTGATTCCGTTGATCGATTGTCAACGGAAGTGATTTCTGACTAGCTGCACAGCTCTGATTCATCAATACTGCGTCATAGCTTCAGTGCAAGCATTAAGCTTATCTGATTTAATAAAGCTTACTCACAACTTCCAATGCGTTGTATGATACAAGTAGTGCATTCAGTGGATGTAATGGATCAGTCGATTGCATATTATGGACTAGCTTTATCCCATCAACAAACATATGATGTTTCATCTGGCTCGGTCAGAAATAGGCATGAAAAGTGTTCCTAATCTATTAGTGGATGATAGGTGGTTTTTTTGACAGTTCATACCATTTGCTGCAGCTAATACTAAAGACGTATGCTATGGATAAGAAGTGACGAATGTGCCTGAGGTATGGCACTAAACAACGATGGTATTATCGCGAAAATATTCCTATGTCAATTATGAATTTGTTAAAGGAATGTTATGGTGTTCCGTACATTCCCGAAGGGCAGTGGTTATGCCGCAGATGTCAGCTTTCGCCGTCGCAAGCTGTCGATTGTTGTCTATGCCCAAATCGCGGTGGTGCCATGAAGCAGACATCAGACGGCCGATGGGCTCACGTTTCTTGTGCTTTATGGGTACCAGAAGTGCAGTTCGCCAACACGGTGTTTTTGGAACCGATCGAGGTACGATGCTCATTGATTTAAGATCTAGTTCTAGCTTCTGACCCTTTCAGGGTCTGGATTCGATTCCGGCTGCTCGTTGGAAGCTCACTTGCTATCTTTGCCGCAGGAAGGGCGTCGGTGCCTGTATACAGTGCCACAAACCGAGCTGCTATGTTGCCTTCCACGTCACTTGTGCTCAGAACGCGGATTTGTATATGAAAGTCGAACCCGTTACAAGTGGCGGCGATTGCGAACGCAGTCCGGTAAGCGTTCGCAAG